TCCTGTAGTGGTTCATTGAACCACAATACCAACAAGTGATTAATAAAAATCAAAAGACCAAAGAGGTCACCTTAATACCAAAAAAAAAAAATATAATAATATTATTATGAGAGTGAACAAGAAATAAGTAATACAAATAATAACAGTATAATTACTAAGTTTGAAAATTTGTATTATTTACTAGAAGATTTAGTAAACCAATTTTTAACCAATAGCTTTATGGAAAATTAGTTATATCATTAAATATAGATTATAGTATGTACATATATATATTTATAATTCTTTTATTACTATTTTTAAAATATTTTCATTTACAAATACAGCTTAACATGTTCTTTTAGTACAAGTTTTGATAAGATTTGAAACTGCTGTAAAGATTAATTTAATAACTCAAAATTGAATTAATTTCTAATACAAATTTGTCTGTTAAATAGTTTGTATTAGTTTTTATATATAAAAAACTTTTATATTTCAATATAACTAAAATAATTTTTTTAATTTTTATAAAAGGCACTATTTAGTATTTAGAAATATTAATTCCAAAAAAAATAAAAATAATAAAACCAACTTTAATAAACTCAAATATGAGTGATGAAAAAGAAAAATCTGTAAATCATTTCACTTATTATATGAAATGATTTGTAGGTTTTTTCTATTCCTCACTCATATATTAGTTTATGTTTAAATAATTGTACTATATAAAATTGGTACTTACATAGATTCTGGTTCATGTTTTATTAATTTATATCTTGCTTCTTATAAAACAAAGATTATTTGTAAAACTTACATATAAATTGTGAACAGAAAATACAAAGATATTTTTTTTCTGAAACATTAAATCCAAATCAAACTCTATATTGTTGCATGGCAAATCAGCAAGTCTGTTGCTAATTTTTTTCAATTTTCATGTAACCTATAGCAGCTAAATCGAAATAGGTGTGTTAGATTTGACTAGTAATTTATCTGTAGGTAAGTATTAATCTTCTCTACTAAGTTTTTTCTTCAACCTATACTTCTATTAACCCTTGCTTTCTCTTATCTTCCTTTTACTTTCTTAACCTGAGATTACAATATGTCAAATCAGGTTGGAGTCCTTCTCTTGCATTAATGGCTTGATCATATAACTTGTAATGAACAAACAAAATGCAGTTTTAATAGATTGCAAATGGATGAACAATAGTTGATTATGATAATTTTAACAATAGTTTTGGGTTTGATTATAGTTTACTTTTAATATGGGTCTGATACTTTAAGTTTATTTAAGCAATTGTATTTACTTGAAAGTATCATGGTTACTTTCCTCCTGGGTGGAAAACCCTTTATTTATAATAAAACTTTTATTTACATTAGTCATTAATTTCTAACATAAATCTAATATCCATTACATCTTAATTATATTTAAGAAAAGGCCGATATCTCATTTATCTTATAAGTAAAAGAAATAACATAAGTAACAGAAGTAACGGAAGTAAGAAAAGTAACAGAAGTAACATTTCCGTTAATTTCACGTGAATTCGAATCGGGTAGGGATCGTCGCTCGATTCGGGCCCTCGTGATTCACAAAAAATCGGGCTCACAATATATAAATACAACAAGTATTGCGACCTATGGCACTTATTACAGCCTACGGCGGTCATTACGACTTATGACATTTATTATGACCCACGTTATATATTACAACCCATGACAATACACACATTGTGTTACAACAGGTTGCAATGGTAGTAATACAGCCGTAACGTAATTGAGGTAGCACCGCCACAAAAATGTCTGCACCTCTAGTGTAAACCTTATCTTAAATCGACTTAAATTCCGAAACAATGTACTCAATAAAATAGTTTAATTTTACTATAAGTTGAATTTGAATTCTTTAACAACTCAAGCGCCATTTAGAATTCTATTACAACCTCCGTTTATTCGGAATCAACCTAAATGGACTCTAAATATATAATAATTCCATTTCGGTGTACAACATATATATACAACCAATTATTACACTCGTACCACTATGTTAGAGTCAAGTTTAGAATTAGAGTAAAGGTTGATTCAATTTTTAAAAAAACTTGTCAGTGAAACGATTGTTGGTGAATTGATTGTCTGTGAAACAATGGGCGCGTGATATAATATGTAAGTAAACCAAAACTATATGTAATATTAATATTATATAAAAATTTGATATCTAAAATTTTATATAGAATACTATTTTACTTTTTATTTTTCGTGAAATTTAAATATATGTAATTCTGTTTAAAACAAAACTATAATTACAATTGTTAGAAATAAAATGTTGGAAGAGACCTTGCTCTTTGATTTAGCCGATGTCTGGTATCTGCCCTTGTAATTATGAAAATTTAAGCCATTCGCAGTGAAAAATTAAGTTAGCAATCCGATCATTGAAAACACATGTTTATTTTTGCAAAAGCAATCTAATTAAAAATTGGTGAAAATACACATTTACACAGCAATTAGCTGAAAAGTAGAGATTACTTTCTTATCTTTTTATGAAGTATGTCTGTTCGTGCATATTAACATGAACTGATGAAAGATGCTACTTAAAATTAATACATTCTATTATTCGTATCTTAACGATTAAGTTTTATTATAAATTATTCTATAGCATATAATTACAGTACTGCTCAATTTTCTTTTTAGAATTTAGAGCTTACAGTAATACAGAAACTCTATAAAACACCGTCATGTTATTACTATATAATCTAATATCGCATTTATACTTTTTACTCACTGTATAGTCGCGAAATAATGTTCGTGAGCGTTGTTTCGAAAATTGCATCCTTTAAAAGCATTATCTTAGGTTCAAATAACATTCATGCATCTCGAAATAATGTGCCATTTGTATAACATGTATATATTAGTGGGTTTTATACTTTATACGTAGTTATTTTTTGTATAATTTAGTTACACATGGATTCTTTAAATTCTATGTGGCTATGTTATTTACAACATACAACATACAATAACTATAAATTATTTATGTTCGTATTCTAATAAAATACGACATTATATAATAGAACAAAAAAAAACCCCTATCGCTATTTATATTATAACTTAGAGAATTTATGCTAAATATCCGAGGAAAATTTTTAACAAATCTGTGATACGAAAGTTTTTAAATCTGTTGTCTTCCATATTTTCCGACGATTAGTTAAAATTGTGTGCTATCTGTTATCATTACAGTTTCACCTAAGAATTGCTATATAAGTTATATAATGAAAGCAAGAAAACTAACTAGGAAGTTTTTAGTGTAGACATTGTATGATGTTACAAAATACATATCATTTGTCACAAACAAATATACAAACTATTTAACACTTTTAAAATATTTTGCAATTCTTTCAAAATATTTTTTTGGGTAAATTCTTTCATGCTTTTTTATTGGCACTAGCGTTTTCTAAAAGATGGCACAAATTTGCGAACATAGAGAATGGCTTGACAGTGCTACTAGAAATAATCAAATTATTAAATATAATTATAATGCGTTTAATGAAATAAATTCTATCGGACACGGGTCATTTGGAAGAGTTTCTAGTGCAATATCCTCAAAATTCAAAAGCAAAGTGGCCTTAAAATCTGTTAAAATTAATTCCGATTTTACAATAGAACTACTGGTTAACGAGGTTAGTGAATATTTTATACAGTCAACTCTAAATATAACGAACCTTTATGATGAACACCATATATAACATTTATTTTTCTCGGTATACAAAATTACTATATAACGAACTTTTGAAAAATTTTTACTATAATAACCGTCCGTTAATTATGGATCCGTGTCATTTCACCGAAAATCAATTCGTCGACAATTCATTTCACCGACAATCATCACTGACAAGTTTATTTCACAGACAACTATTTCAACGACAGCCCATTTGACCGACAAGTTTTTTTAAAAAAATTGCACTAACCTTAACTCTAATTCTGATCTAACCCTAACGAAAATGACCAGAATTACTTTGTCACTGAAATGATTGTCGGTGAAATGAGCACCACCCGTTAATTATAGGGTTGACTGTATTATCATTGGTGAAAAAGTATAGTTAAAATACTGATAATCTTTTACAGCTCAAACAGCACATTCGTCTTGGTTCACATAATAATATTTTAGAATTCTATGGAATTATTGAAGATGGTAATAAACATAAAATATTCTTAATCAATGTTATTTTGTGATGTTATTAATATTTTTAAATATGTTCTTCAGAACCAGACATATTTATACTCGTTCTTGAATATGCGAACAATGGTACTCTTAAAGAATATCTATGCAAGAATTTTTGTGTATTGAACTGGGATGATAAACTTGACCTTGCAAGACAATTAGTAAATTCTATTCAGTTTTTACATTCGCATGATATAATTCACAGGGATTTGGTAATTTACAATTTTTATTCTCAATAACACCAGTGGTGTTTAACACCACATATATGTTGTAATGGTTTGCTAGTAAAGTTTAAGGTTAGGGAACCTGAACATATAGATCTAAACTTTAGCTAGGGTAAGTTTTTTGGGGTGCTGACCATTTTTGCTTAGTACCCATGACATGTGTTAGCTAGTACGTTTTTGAGATATAGTAACTATGGTATTGAGCGCCACTGGTGTGATTTAGTAAAACCGTTTATTTTTAATCCTAGTTCTTTAATTTATTTTTTGTTTTTCGTCTTTTCCTTTAGCACTCTGATAATGTGCTAATCCATGATAAAATTGTGAAGCTTAGTGATTTTGGAAATTCAAAATTTACTGCAGATCCATCAATTCAACTAACAAAGGGACTTGGGTCGATGCGTTACTCTGATCCTGAATTTGTCAAAAATTCTCTAAATTATAGTCGAACAAAGAAATCGGATATCTATAGTTTAGGTGTACTCTTATGGGAGATATCAAGCGGTAGAGTGCCATTTAAATTTGACGACCATACCTTTGTATGTTTATATGTTATTTTTGGATTAAAAGAAAAACCAATTCATGGAACACCAAAGGATTATGTAAAAATTTATGAAGGTAATAAACTTTAACTTATATTTTATTTCTCTAGTAAATAAAAATAAAATAATTTTATCATTACGTATTAGAATGCTGGAGATCGATACCAGACCAACGACCAAATATTGAAGAGGTTAAATCTAATCTTGCGAATATTAATATAGATAATGTAATATCTATTGAGAAAATTGAAATTAATGAAAAACCAGATATCAGCATTCTTCAAGGACTAGCTAACAGGATTAATCTTCAGGGACTAACTAATGGAATTGATCTTCAAGGACTAACTAATGGAGTTGATGCTGATTCTGAAATTTTCCATGAATTATATGAAGTTTTAAGTTCAACATCAGATATTGATGAAGAATACATAGATAACAACATTGAAGATTCTGATAAACAGATTTTACGACAACTAGTGCAACTTTTTTCAAATTATATAAATGTTCCTGAAGTTTCTTTACAGAAACTATTTTATTTTGCAAAATATATTAATTATATGATTATTATATATTTATTAGAAAATTTCATAGTTTACACATACACGGGTATTACCGTATTTCGCCTTGTAGAGTGTCCCCTGGTTGACTGTACTTCCCTTGATCTTGATTTATACCGTTACCAAGTCTATGACTTATATATTCTGTAAAAGACCCAGATATACTAAAAAGATATTTATAAATATGATGACATATAAACAAGTCGGCTTCATACATACAAGATCTCCCGCAAAGATGATAGTGTACTTTCTGCCATACCATATTCGTGTAACATATAAAACCAATTTTTTATAATCAAAAGTTAATTCCATTTAATATTAAAGTGAGTTCTAAAGATCATTACGGCGCATTTGTAAAATTTGAAAATTTTGACTACGTACTAATATGTAAATATAGATTTTGACTGAGATACAGTATGTCCAATGGGATGCGTCGAGGGTGGGCATGTGAGGAAGATGGTGATATACCCGAACTACCTCTGATTTAGTCCGTGGTTAAACTAGAACGATTCTAAGTAAAGACGTTAATAATTGAATGTCTTCTGTAGTAAGTAATTATGTCAATAGCTAGTATTGACGTTTAAGAGGATTTAGAGTGATTTGCAATTACGAAAGAGACAAATAACTATAAGTATATGAAGATACGAATAGACGTATAACAGGTTATTAATAAAAACCTTGAGTTATTCGTGTATGACGACACGATTACTCTTTATTAATTAATAACAAGTGGAAGCGCACCGATTCAATGATACGATATCGGAGCTATTTATAGAATCACATTACCAATAAAGTCATTAATAAAAGTCAAAAGGCCAAAGAGGTCACCTTAATATCAAAAAAAAAAATAAACAACACTTTAATCTGTACTAAAGGGATAAAAATTTTATATACATAATTTGGAAATTACTATATATCTTTAATTTATTACAATTCTTTAACTTAAATCTTTCTTTATTTTTTCTTACACTGTATATTAAGGCATATATATAATTGTTGTATTCCTATTACATTATGTTACAATATGTAATTATCTAAAAAAAAAAATAGTAAACAATATCAATCTTTTGTAAAAAGAGAGTCAAACTCTACTTTTAAGTAAAAAAAATACTGGAAAAAAAGAAAGATTGACAAGTATGATATATGAAAAACTAAATTAAGAAAAATGTTTCCAGTTGTTTATTTTATTTTTAAGTTTTTTATAATCTTTAATTAAACTTTTTCTCTATTGTTTTCAGAATATTCTAATTTAAATACTAAATGTATTAGAGAAAAAAAAGATTTAATCTCAATACAAACTATCAAAAGAGTCATCTGAACTTTAGTTTTTTTATATACTTCTGGTTTGTTGGTAATAATCTGTTTTATATATTAATACAAAATCAAATATATTGTCTAACAATACTCTTACTCATCCAGGAAACAATAACTCTTGACCAATACAAACAACTCTAACCTATTCTAAAAAAACTAACAAACAATTTCCTTATTCTTCTATCCAACTCTCTACTCAACTGGTTCAACTCTACTATTTGATAAACCCAGAATACTAAACAACATGAATGGGAATTAGTATGAGGAATTATTGCCTCAACTAAAAAGAAAAACAACATCTGATTATCTATTCTATAATCTTCCAATTCTACTAACAATAGTTTCATATTTAATATTGATATAGATTCTTTTATTTTTAAAACTCTTTTTCAAAACTGTTCTATATATAATTGTTTTTATTAACTTTAACAACCCCAAGGGTTTCTTTTACCCCTTCTGTAGTTAATAATTATAATAGTTGATTTAACTAATAACAGATAACTAAAGGATAATATCACACTAGATGTCGTTAGCATATAGCAACAATAGT